ATGCTGCACCAGTACCTGCACGTCACGGACCCGCACGCGGCCGCCGAACTCGCCGGCACCGCCACCACCCTCACCCCACCCACTACCGCCGCGCCGACCCGTACCGCGCCCGAGACGGACGACGACGACGAGTACGTCTACGACTACTACTACGCCGACGCCCCCGACTCGTCCGACGCGTCCCCGTCCTCGACCGTCCTGAAACTGTCCTACGACGTGGACGACCTCGTCGACGACTTGCCCACGACCGGCCGCGTCATTGTGCTCGGCACCGATTATACGGATGCCAATTCCGGTCGCCTCGTGGATCCGGCCGCCGCAGAGGCGATCTTGGCGGCCGCCGCGGGAAGGGCCGCGTGCGATGGCAATGATTCGGACGACGATTCGAATGCCGAGTCGTATTATGGCAACGATTACCCGGATGAGGAGGACGCGTGGTGGAGCGAGGGCGAGGAGGGCGACGGGAGGTTTGGGGGTGACGAGGACGAGGAGGAGGGGGATGAGTGGGAAAGGGAGGACGAGGCGTGGCATCGGCCGAGCGGGTTTGGGCCGACGCGGCGCGTGGTCCCGGCGGCGGGGAGAAATGGTGCTGGGCGGGGGTGGCCGTGGATGAGGGAGGAGGAGGATGAGGATGAGGACTGATGGATATGAGTATGAGCAAGAAATGTGCCGTGTTCGTGTGATGTATACTGCGACCTTGGAGCTCTGTCTCGTCCTCAAAACGTTCTGCCTTGGTAAGTAGAATCGGCCCACTGGCGCTACCGCTTGATTTGCTGGCGCGCACGAATTCAGGTCCAACGCAGTGGAGACGAGCGACATTGAAATGGCTGGGATGGAGGCCGTTTGGAAAGACGTCGTTAAGGGCAACACAATTATTCTTGAGATACAACCGGGAACAAAAAAATTGACGACTTTAACATGACGATCCGACCAGCCTTGTTCAGCTCACCGTTTTCGCCCTGCTGAGACCCGACCCCAGGGTAGTATCGTCCCTGTCCGTCCTAAAGCCATCGTCCACGACAGACCTGCCCACCACCAGCCGCCTGATCATTCGCAGGACCAACGACACGCACGCTACCATGACACAAGCTCCAGCCGCCTTGTCGATCCAGTCGAAGAAGCGATCCTGGCGGCCGGCCGGGCCGTGGAAGGCTGGCGCGATCCCTGCCCAAGGGTCATTTTGTTGGATCATTGGCTATTTTTCGTGCTTTCATGACGATATTTCTCTTGGGATAGTTCTTTCGCCATTGATTCACTTTGATCCTCTTGTGTCGCCCCTGCTTCGTCCTTTGATTCCTCGCCTCCCCGCTTCCCACTCCGCTCGGTCCTCATCGCCCGCTCCTCTCGTCCCGGACTGCTCGCGACGCGTCATGGATGCTATAAAGGCAGCGCGCCTCCGGACCTCTTCGGCTCCTTCCCCCTCGCTCGCTCTTTGGTTTGCTTCACTCGCTCGCGCCGACGTCTCCTCCAAGTTCCCTTTGCTCACTTGTCGGATACGGTCGTTACGCAGATTATATCATTATTAGCGCCATTGTACAGTTTCCAGGCGTTCTTGGGCTGAGTACCCGATCCGCCACGTCCAGACATTTCACTGCAAACCATGACCGATGCACCCGCACCACCGCCCGCCATTGCGGGCGGTGACGCCGCCGCGCCGCCGCCAATACCCGCGCCCGCGCACGCCGCCGTCGATGCGCAACTGCAAGAACTGGTCGCGCAAGCCATGGAGCGCAATGCGGCCACACGTGTGCACCTCGCCCAGCGCGCCGAGGCCTCGATTGCAACCATGAAGGACGCACTTGCCGACTTGCTCGTGGTCGCGGGCCTGGCCAGGACCACGGCCGCCCTTGTGCCGGGATTGCACGACGTTGTGCGCGTTTTGAGCGATCTATACGCGCAGTCGCACGCTGTGCAGACGAGTTTGGAGCCGGAATGGTGCGCGGCGGTTGCGGTGATGGCGCGCGCGAATGCGAATGTCGTGGTGCCGAACCAATCAGGCGCGGACGCGCCGCTGATCAAACCTGTGCTCGTTGAGCCTGATCGGCCGGAGGTCGTGCGGCTCGTGCCGTCCCGCAAGCGGCGCCACAGCGACGGCGACGAGGAGGCCGATGTGGAGGGCCGGAACGAGGACCGCAGCGTCTTCAACAATCAAGGGCACCTTGACGAGGACGACAAGGACGACAAGGAATATGTGTCAGGCCAGGATAGCGACGACGATATCGACTACGACAGCGACTCGGCCGACGAGGACCAGGACGGCGATATGAGCGACGACGCGAGCGATTTCAGCGACACGAGCAACGACGCGGACCCCGACGTCTCCGCGCGCGCCCCCAAGGACGTGCTGGTGCCCAAAATCGACGCGACCGTGCTTGCGCAACTCGCCAAGAACGACTACGGCAAGCTCATGTGCGGGCCAGCGGCCAAGTTTGACATTACGCAGAACCGCCGCGACACGGTGCCCTTGCGTGACCTCGATGTTGCGCTCCGCCCTCCCCTCAGGTACCAGGACCTTCAATTTCAACTTGCCAACTCTGGCGCCCGCCGCAAGATCCTGATCGGCTCCTGGAACGATGCGCTCATGGCCCGCGTTCTGTGATCAACTGTCGACGGTTCAAACCTGACTGCACCCATGCAATCAATTGACGTCGCGGACCACCGCACCACTTCCCAACGCTCCCCTTGTCATTTCTTTTTTGTTCTCGGGCCCCTTGATTTCATCCACCACCGCGCGTGGCCAGCCGCGGCCCGGCACCCGTCGGCACCGTGACGGGCGCCAAATCCCCATGTTCACGATCACGATCCTGACCGCTACAACGCAGCCGACGACTCGAAAAACGCTGCAACGACGACTACGGCCATGGTCGACGCCTTTCCACCGAAAACCCCCTCCCTCTTCCCACGCGGGCAGGGTCGACACGTGCAATTCCCTCCCTGATGGTGTGAAGCGCACACGCCTTGCTCCCGTTGCGAGCTGATCGTCTCCGCCGCTGCGGCGAACCCCGCGACTCCCAGCATCATTCTCGACTCAATCGTTGACGACCACGACGTCCCGACGACCCGACGCGACACGCGCACCGCATGGCCCGACACGACCCACGCCATTAACCACCGCCAACCGAGAAACGGGCCATTCCGTCACGTCGGCAAGCACACAGCTCACCCTGAAGACTATCCCAATCACACCATTTGCCAGAGCGACCACAGCGCCAACCGTGTGCACGCCCTCCACGACTTTGTCATCACACACTGCACAAACGCCGCCTCCTCGTTTTGTTTTTCGCCGCGTTTTTCGGGGTGGTCCGAGCCCACGCCGGGCTAACCTGCCAGCGAGGTGCCAGCGGCCTACGCGATTGACGAGGCCCTTCTCGCGCATCTCTTGAATGACGACTACGCCACGCTTTTCTACGGGAGCGGGACGCCGTTTGAGATTACGCAGAGCCGGTTCGATACGGTGCCGCTGCGCGACATTGACAGCGCGCTCCAATCCCGCTTCTGCCCTGGCGTGCGCCCACTCGTCTGGAACGACGAGCTCATGGCCAAGGTCGGCGTGTCCAAGGAGTTTGTGTGGTCCTGCCGGACATGTGGCCTTGCTCGGATGTCATGGTTGCAACGAGGAGCTGGAAGGCGAGGGCGGGTTTGTGTTCGGCGTGCGCCAGTGGCAGTAAGGAGCGTGGCGCGTAACTCGATTGATGGGGAACGCAGACGGTGGGATGGTGCACGCGGCCATGGAGAGCATCGAACATGACGTTGGAGCGTGGTCGCATTGTAAATATTTATGTCTCATCCATGATTGGTCGATCGTTGGATTGGAACGCAAGAAGCGTCAGGTTGTCGACCTTCAGTCTGTCGTCCACCTCCTTGTCTTCTCTTTCTCAATCTCTCCTCGACCATCCTCGATTGACCCTCTTCAACATCCTCGACCTGACGCACGCGCACCGCCGCCACCCACGCTCGCAGCCAACGTCGACGCGCGGCTGGAAGAACTCGTCGCACAAGCCCAGGAACACAACATGGACACGCGCGTGCTCCTCGCCCGGCGCGCCGATGCGGCGGTCACGACCACGAAGAACGCAGTCGACGATTTTGCACGTGTTCGCCGACCTGGCAAGCATCACGGCCCCTGCCGTTTCCGGCGTGTGCCAGCGGCGAGGCTAACGAGTGTGGGTCGCACGTGTGCTGTACCACTGTTGACGCGGATATTTACCAACGCGACGCGCCACGACCATGGTCGTGATCCAGTACGGTCGCCGCGGTGGTTCGTGTCGTGTTTTGTGATTTGGATTAGCGTGCATTTGGAAAACGGTCGGTTCTGTTACGAACCAGTCAACTGTCGCTGAGCTCCAGTATTTTTGGTGAATGGCTCGAAGAACTTGTTCTTGCATGGACACCAGGGGTAGAAACGTGGGTTGTGTGTGGATTGATGTTCGGTCAGCACTCCATCTGTTGCAGCAAAAAGTGCACGTCCGCTCAATTCACTGATAAAGAGGTGAAGGTTGCATGAGTTGCAAGCAAGTCACATCAGGATCAACCACGAGCCTTGGCGGACGAGCACAATGAAATCCACACGGTCAAAAAATTGGAATCGTGTCATTACCCAAGCCAGACGCACGCAAGCTGCGACTGATCATAAACGCACGACTGTTTACTTTCACTGCCACTGAGATTCGAACTCAGGAGAAGCACCGTTCAATCTTTCAGAGTGTTCATCCGTTGCACTCTTTGCCTTCCATGGCCCAAGCGCAATAATGCCAAAGGAGTCATAGGCATCTGGATGGGATAATTACGATCATTAGTTCCATTTGTTCCACGAGACTCATGGCTACTGTTCTCACCAGATCACGACGACCGATTTGCGATCTAGTGGGGCTGAACGAACCGCGAAAAGATTTTCGGATCGACAAAAACGAGAAACATTCTGGATGTTTGCGGGATAAAAACGGCGTCCACAAAAAATCAGTCGCCCGGCCTCTTTTTGACTTACGCAAGGACATTGTTGACGGTCCCACTGAGATTCGAACTCAGGTTACTGGATTCAAAGTCCAGGGTGCTAAACCACCATTTGTGTCTCCTAGCGGCAATCTTGTCGCACTGCGGCATAAGGAGTTTGCTAATAAACCTCGTCACTACGCTATGGGACCGATCTGACATCCCAGGTGGGGGACATCCTCGCACAAAAGCATTTGATATATATTTGAATGAGCCAACTCTCGCCGTTGGAACGACAGCTTCTTGTCTCTGCTTTGATCGACCAGCGTTCCCTCCGCCGAAGCCGTTCACCACATCTCTCAACGACCGTCGAAGCAAAGAAGCAAACAGTGAATTCCCTATCCTAAGCCCCTACCTATCAGCTAAATCCCCCGTTCAAGTCTCTTCCACCACCGTCCGCGTCCCAAGTCTTCTCCCTTCTCCCACCAATCAATCAACACGGCATCTCCGCCAGCACCGCCTCGATACACGCATTGATCACTTCGCGACGACTCGCCAAATCCACCTGGAACCGTGCCGCCAACTCGGTGCGCACCTTCTTCTTGGTCAGCGTCGCCAAGTCGTGCGCCATCATGATCGCGCGCACCGCCGCCCAAATCTCGTGATCCGTCGGCATCCCCGGCGGCGCCGCCACACCGACGCGCGAGACGGCCGCGGACGCGGCCGATGGCGGCGCAAACAGCTGGTTCATCGACGGCGACATGCCGACCATCGACCCCATCTTGCCCGTCGCGGGCGTCAACATGTTGCTCATCGACATGCTCTTGTTGAGCGCCAGCAGGTTCGCTGCCGACGAGTAGACGCCGAGCTCAACCCCACCGTCGGCCGTCGTCGACGCGGCGCTGCGCAGGTTCGCGAGCGACGGCGACTTGCCGTTCATCTTTACGGACTTGCGCGGGCTCGCGGTCGCCGTGGGCGTCGCGTTCAGGACGTCGGCCGACTTGGCAATTTCCATGAGCGACGCCTCGGTGCGCTTGAGCCGCTTGTAGTCGTCCCACTTGGCGGTCGGGATCGTCGCTGGGTCAAAGTGGTCGTTGTCCCCCTCGTGCCCGCCCTTGCCGGAATCGCCCTCGATCCGACGCGTCGCGCCCCACGAGAAGTCGTCGAAGTGCCAGAACTACGCGATTGCAAACATGTCAGTCTGATCCACGACCTGTGCAGTCGCCGTCGAGGAAAGAAGGACAAAGGAGCGTACCGAGTAGAGCGGAATGTACATGTAGAAGACGGGCATCGCAATGATATGGATGATCATCCACCCAATGTGCTGCCACTGGCGCTTGATCAGGAAAATCACGGCTTGCAGACCGTACGTGACGCCCACCAAGATCAGCGCCTGCTTGTGCGCCTCCGAGTCCTGCACGACCAGGTAGAGCATGTAGGCCAGGTACCCGACACTTGCCGGCATGACGAGCGTTGCAAACAGGTCTAGCAGCACGACAAATCGCATCGAGAAGATGAGGCACCCGCACAGGTCGCTACGTTTTCGCCCCCGTAACAGCGGTTAGAATCCACTCAAAGGAGGGCACCGAGACGCGAAGAAAAAATGAGCATACCTTACGGTCGTCAGCTCAAACAAATTGTGAATCGTCGAGTTGATCCACCGGCGGCGCTGCGAGAGCAAGATGGAAAACTTTTCCGGCACGATCGTCAGGCACCACGAGTCGGGCGTGAACTTCATCTTGTACTCGGGGAAGTGCTTGAGCAGCAGCGTCGTCAAGTACCGGTCCTCGCCGAGCATGAGCAGATTCTTCTTGTGCAGCGTGTCGACGTTCGGCTCCGAGTAATCCTGGATGATTTGCGGCGCGATCACGAGCGGCGTGCGCTTGTCGTTGCGCGTCGAGAAGAGCTTGTACATGCAGAAGCACCCGGGCAAACACGTCACGGACCCAAAGAGCGACTCAAACGCCTAGATGAACGAAATTGGTGCGTCAGTTTTCAAGCCGCGGTGCTACGAGCGCAAGTCGCAAGACCGTACCTTGGCCAGATGATGCGAAATGTAGTACTCGTAGACCTGGATCATCGTCACCCACGTCTGCTTTTCGTTCGCAATCTTGGTCTCGCCGCAGAGCCCCATGATTTTCGAGTCGTTGATGCACGCCGAGATCAGCCGCGTCAAGCACTCGGGCCCGACCTCCGTATCGGCATCGACGCAGAGCAAGAACTCGTAGCTGCCTGGCGGCACGCCAATCACGTTGCGAATATGCCGGTACATTTCGAGTTCGAGCGGGGTCATGGGCGCATTGAAGAACACCTTGCTCAGGAACCGCATCAGCACCATTTGCGAGTCGCGCTTGCCGCGGTTACCGGCCTTGGCCGTCTCCTTTTCCGTGCCGCACTTGACCACGACCATGTAGGGCACGGCGCGCCCTTGGATCCGGTAGAGGCCCGAGTAGACTTTGCCCTTGTTGTGCGCCTTGGACCCTTCGCCAATCGCGTGGTAGGAGAACGGCTGCGCGTTGCGGTCGGCGTCGGGCACGCCGAGAATGTCGAGCACCAAGTCGGGCGTGGGTTTGTCGTTACCCGACCCCTTGACCATGCCGTCGGCGACAATGAAGAGCAGCTTGCGCGTGTCATTGTAGGACGTGAGCGACAACGAGTCGATCGTCTTTTTCAACGACTCGGTCGACTCGGAGTAGCACGGCACTTGCATGATCACAAACCGGTCAATGTCCTCGGGCCGCCGCTTCGATCCGAGCTGCAGCGCCGACAGGAACTTGATCACCATGACCGCGACCATGATATACGTGACCCCCATCAATATGTACTGGCCCACGAGACAGACCGTCTGGTCGCGCCGGTCGACGACGCCAATGTAGGCCGTCGCGTCAAGACACCCGATGTTCACGTAGGTCGCGCCGTACGTCGAAATGTCCTTGCCGGCATTAGCAGCGAGCAAGTCGACCTGCACCGACGGCAACGGCGAGTTGGGTCCGAGCAGCGCCGTCACGTCATATACCTTATCGCGAATCACGACCCACGCCGACTCGGAACTCGCGTGCAGCGCAATCTCGCCGAGCGCGTAGGTCATGGTCCCGTACCGCGCCCACCCGAGTTTCGGGTCGCGGTAGAGCACCTTGTTCGCCAGTGAAATGTAGTCGTGGCAGTAGGCCGTGTAATTGTTGGCCGTCAGCGCGCGCGTCGTGCATTTCGCCGCGTCCATTTGCGTCACGTCAAACGTGCGCCCGGTACCGCACGCGGCGGGCGCCGCGCCCGTGCTTGGATCCCACCGCGGGAAAAATGCCTCGGCATCGGCCGACCCGCGCAAGTTCAGGTACTTTTGCTGCGAGTACCCGGCCACGTTCGGGTGCAAATAGCCCGTCGCGTCGTAGACGACGCCGTGCAGCGCAAACACGTTCGACTTGGACGTGCTCGGGTCCGTGTTGAGCGCAAACAATTGCTTGGACGAGAATAGGTGCGACTGCGGGCAAAGCAGGTCGCCAAAACCGGTAATGAAGAACAGCATGATCGCCGACAGCGCCCCGATAATGATGCACAGGGCCACTTTTTCGCGCCACGCCTGCTGAATGTCGGGTCGCTCCATGTGGCCCCACCACTCGAGCAGCCGCGACGGGATCCACCACGTCAGGACCTTGGTCGTAAACAACCACCGGCGCCGGATCCCCGACAAGTTCACTTGCGGCGGCGGTGGGGGTGCGGTGGGTTTCACATTCGCCGGTGCCGCGCCCGCACCGGCAGGTCCAACGCGCGGCTCGTCCCCGAGCTCGCCGTCCGTGTTGGCCGTGTCCGCGACACTCGTCGTCTCGTCGTCCTTTTCCGGCCGTTCCAGCTTGTCGAGCACCTTGCGTACCGTCGGCGGCGCATCGGCAAACGTGTACTGGTCCGGGTTTACTGCGAGATCGTGCGCCTCGAGTGCGAGCCACTCGTGCATCTTGAACAGGACCGCGCCCGACGCGGCCGCCGTCACGTTGATCCCGAGCGCGGTCAGGGCCGCCAACACGCCGTCCGGTCCACCCGCCGCCGCGGCATCCGGCAGCGTCGAATCAGCACGCGGCCCGGCCGGGTCCGAATCGGCCGCTTTCGCCACAAACAAGTGCCGTTTATGCTGCGCGAGCACTTCTTCGACCGTTTGCAGTTGCCAGAATGGTGTGGCGCGCGCCATCGACACGATTGCCGGTAAATCCAAACTCGCGCACAGATCCTCGATCACGTCGCCCGGTGGCATCACCACGACCGACCACTGCGTGCACCCTTCAAGCGACTGGACCAGCTTATCCATGGCGACGCGGTGCTGCCCGAGTACCGTGTTCGAGACGCGCGACAGCGGCACCGACGCGTCGTCGTCGTCGTCGTCCTCGTCGGCCTCGGCCACGGGCGACGGTGCCTGCTTCGCCGCCTCCACGCGCGCCGCCTTGGCCGGCTTGGCCACGCGCCGCGTCGGGTTCCGGCGCAACGCCGTGCGCCCGGCCACAATCGTCCGTGCGCGCCCGGGCGCCGCGTAGGTTTCGACCAAGTGCTCGCCAAACATTTTCTCAGCCACAGGGTTGCGCGACTGAGACCGGAACAGCTTGATGAATTCCGGGTTCACGAGAGCGTCGACGTGCGCGAGCGTCACGGCCAGCGAATACACGACTGCCGGGTCCCCCGCCGATGTCGGGAGCGAGTGCCGGATCGCAAAGCCCGCCGCGGAATCGCCCGCGGGTAACGCGTACCGCGCGCGCGTCGCGAATTTCGCGTGCAGGTGGTCCAACAGCGCCATACTCGACGGCATCACCGTCGGGCCCGTGGCCGATGGTGACGCGGGGGCCGCCGCACCGGCTTTGGCGGCCGCGGCAGCCTTGGTCTGCTGCTCGATCACCGACAGAACGTCGTCCATGACGGCGACGGGCGGGTCGACTGGGAGGACTTGCGGGATGGCCGCGAGTTCGCGCGCCCACTCGGCGTGCCGCCGCTCGAGCGCGCGCATCTGCATGTTGTGCACGCGTTCCGCCGCGTAGTTGCGGCACAGTTGGTGGATCCCGTTGGTCGGCGCCGTTTCGATCCCGCCCATATCGACGAGTCCGATCATCGAAGCTTGGTGCGCGGCCTGGTTGAGCCGCTGGTTGATGGTTTCGAGCACGTATGCGAAGAGCGTCGCGTAGAGGTCGTGCA